TAATTAGTTTTTATTAGGGTAAAGGCTACGAGTTATTTTTACATGAAAATGTTTCAAGTCACGTTTTCGCATCTTTAAAAACAATGACAACTTTCAAAGTTAAAATTTATATCAATTAATTGTTTTCATATTGGATAATTTTTATTATTACATAGCTGAATAATTAAAATTGAAAACCCAAATTTGTTTTTACTAATATTTAAAAACATTATAATAAAATCAATAATTTATAGATATTTCGGGTTGGGCTTTTTTAAAATGTTTTAATTGATCTTTGGATGATTAAAATTAAATCTATTTTGCCCTCTATTGTCGTAAAAAACCTTAAAACTTCAAGGACAAAAAATCTTTTAGTTTTTTTAATTCAATTCTATTTAAAAATTAAAATTGGATTAATCTAAAAAATATTATAAACTAATATTTTTTATATTATAAAAGTATCAATATATGTTTATAACATCTAAATTTAATATAATATTGAATTGCATTATTTTATATAAAATATTACATAATTACAGTTCTGAGTAATAAAAATTCAAATCATAAGGGAGAAAACAGAAAGCAGAATAATAACAATTGTTATTATTATAGTTAACATAAGAGGATATACTTGCGTGTGGAAAACACTAACTTAAACGACACAAATAGTTTTGAATAGTGTCAAGCCGTTTATTGACTAAAGTAGAAAAACAAAACAAAGAAAAAATAATAACAAAATATAATATATATTATTATCGCACGTATCTGTCGATGCTTGAAGCGAAAGACGATGCTTTCTCGTGCAAACGAGAAGACAATTGAGTTTAGGTGTTATTATATTTAAATATACTAAAACATTAATATCAATTCCCGAATGACCTATAATTCTGGCGAATATAAAGGACTTAAAAAAATGATGAGATAATGTACATTTTTTCCATACATTCTAAATCTACGTTACCATATCGTATAATTCAGTGGCGACTCGTGGCTGGACGACGGGACGATCGCACCCCCTACTAAAATTAATTAAAAGAAAAAAATTAATTGTATATTCTTAAATCTACATTTTTATTAAAAATTCAAATTTTTAAATAGTAAAATAGTTATAATAAATTTATCGTGTGCAAACATTAAAGTTGTTTCCCTCAGTATATGCGGGTACGCATGCCACACGAACATGTTTTGACGACCAACAGCATAAAATACAGTAAAATATTAGTATATTACTATAATGGGAAATTTATTTTTAGAATTAACCATGTGTACGCTCGTCGTTATTCGTTTGCTATAATAGTTTAATCGCTATTATTGTTATTTTCATTTCTATTTTCTACTGCGACCTTTAAAATAATATGTGCATTGTGTTTTATTTTATTATATTTAATTTGACAATTTTTAATATCTATAACTAGCGGTATTATATTTAAAGTCGCACCTCCACCACCAGCACACACGAGCCGCTACTGGTATGATTGCAATTAACGTTATAATTATGTGGGGTTATCAAAAAACATATTTAAAAAAAAATCTGTTTAAGACATAAATAAATAATTTAAAACGTCCCATGATACCAATTTAAATGTTGACATTATTTTAAACAGTCAGTATTAAAACGCTGTTTCAAACTATCAGTGTTAAAACGTAACAATCCTGATAATATGTCTATATTAAAACCTTCTTAATTAAATACAGCTAAACCTTATATTATGTGCTACATATGTACACAAGCTTATCGCGTAAGTTTTAATAAAGTACACTATCGAGTAATAATAAATAAATTAACTACTTGGTAAAACTTGAGAAAATATATTTGTAAAATGAAAAAAGTACAACATATTATTTTATTAAAAAATATACTATGCATTGGCAGGCCGACAACATGCACTAGGGGATCACTCTAAATAGTGTATTTAGGACTGTTTAATTAAAGACAGAAATATGTGAAACTATTATACGATTAAAAATATAATGTAATATACAATATATAAGTGCAACAAAGTTTTTGTGAGCTATCATGATATCCACTCTAATAGTTCAATATCTTTTTATTTTATTTGAGCAATTCACTTTTTTATTTCAACAAGAAAAGCTACTAAAATATGTGTAGCCCTTGAGCCTTCGGTCTCTCAGGACAGCCTGATACTACGTTAGACAAAGCTTATTAAATCCATTTACATTCATTGAAATAATATGTTACAGAATAAATCATTTATTAATCATAGTATACATGTTGTATGGGAATGAGCTTAAAGTAGTACAGGAGTTGGGATTAATTCGTTATCAAAGTAGGTTAATAATACATTCCAAATTCGTCATTTAAAAATGAGTTTCTAAAAATTTAATCTATAGAGCGATTCATTTAATATAACCCACTCAATTACTTGCAAAATAAATACAATACTGGAAAATAAACTTGTTTTTTTTTTTAGTTAAATAAATATTTTGTATTTATCAGCTATTAATTATTTTTTATCATCACTCCTTAAAACTTATTATAAGGGGGCTAATTTAATTTTTAAATGATAATATACATTTTTTACAAGACAAATCCACAGGTAAAACTTTTTTCCCAAAGAAAGTATTTTACATAGCTTTAATTTAAATTATATATAAAATTGTCATTACTTCCGGGACATAATGACATAATGACATAATGACACAATGAAAAAACGATAAATAATCACATCATAGTAAAATTAAAAACCTTCTCCAATTCGCATTGAAGCGAAAAAAAAATAGAACTACAGAATCCAACGGTAGTGGTGTCGAGTAGTTTTAATTGATATCTGACTTTTATTACATCTATGTTGTAAAATGCTTGAATATACACATATCAAATTAAAAATAAATATGCTATATTTACTAAAAAATTACATAATTTTTTACTTAAGAAGCTGATGACTTTTAAGGTAAATTGGTAAATATCAAAAATTACCGATTTCATAAATAGTAAATTTTGAGGATTCCCCCATTTGCAAAAAAACAATAGAATTTTTTTCAATTTCTGAGTTTAATGTCTTCAATTAGATAAAATTTGTGATAAAAAAATCTCAATTGCACAAAAATAATATTATATTTGACTTTGCTTTGAATGATATAAATGTCGCTTTACTATGCAACAAATTACAAAATTAATTATTTTTACCAAAAATTACATGATTTTTATTTATAATGCCTCATAACTCATAGAAATCGAGGTATAAAATAGATTTTCTTTAGTTATTTAATGTAAATTGTATGAACTTTAATTTAATGTAGGTTTAAAGAAGTCAGATTTATTGGAACATAAGCAAAAATTAAAAAGAAAAAAATGTTGCTATGATTTTAAGTCCAGTAATAAAAAAGTTATTTTAATATAGTGAAAACTATAAATATCGACATAGACTGATTTTTAACAGCTATAATATTTTTGGGACATTGTCCTTTATAACAAAGATTTAGGGAAATTGTTCAAATTAATGTTACTAATAGCTTCAACTACATACGTTTTGTGATCTTTTGACGTATCGTTGAACAAATTTAGTCCCGTAAGAGGGGTGAAATCAAGTGTGATACACAAAGTGACACAAAAAAAAAATCAAAAGCAGAGTTACACCAATAGTTTCTTCGCAATGCAACGAAGCTAAAATTGTTCATATATTTCTTTTAATTTTCTATAAAAAAAACATCATGTTTATGTATATCCAGAAAATTTTTTTTTTGCAATTAGTTTTACCATTGAATTTTCAAAAAAAAAAAAAGACAAATGTAAAGTCAATATTTCTAATATATCGAATAAAAAAATTCAGGTCAGTGTTTATGAAAAAATGTTGTAGTATTTTTAAAATGCAAAAAATTGTTGAAAAAAATAACTTTTTACGGTATTGTAATTTCGAAATATTTTTTAAATTTCTAAAATTTAGGTTTTTTTTAACTTTTGGTGATATACTAGAATTGCAATCTGATTCTTTTGATGCAAAAACTAATATAAATCACGCCCAAAGAAAAACCTCGATCTATATAATAAATTCATTGTTCAATTTGATAAATATATCATTACTATTGAATCTATGATATATTTATCAATATGATAATTTTTTTTCTTGTCTTGAACAATAATTATTTATAAGAATAATTATTTTGTTCGTATTAATAAAACATTATCATAAACCCTTGATAAAATTTCTCTATCAAAATTGATTGAGGTTTTTCTTTGGGTGCAGTATAATGAGAGCTGAGTATTAATTGAAAATAATATTATATTTTTGCTTAAACGGACGATTTCTCATAGTAGAACAATTGTCAGGATAAATTTCGTTAAACATTGTTGTAAACTTAATATATATTTTTTTAATATAACTTTAAATTTTTAAAAATTGAGTAAAAAAAATGTTTAAAGGCGTGGGGGTTTCTTTTAAATCTTTTCTGCATTTAGGTTTTTCAATGGATTTTCAGAGAAAATATAACAATAAAATTTATTGATATTGATTATTGTACTTTTATAAAATTTTATTTGTATCAGTTTATTAAAAAAAAAAATTAAAGTATTTATTAAATACAAAAAATAATTTCAAAATTATCATTTTTACGGTAACGTAATTTTGAGATATTTTTTGAATTTCTAAAATTGTAGGGTTTTTCAAATTTTGGTGTTGATAGTTAAAATTTTCAACTAGATTAATATGATGATTTTTTGACTTATTGATCATAATCAATAAGTCTAATAATTATTAAATTTAGTATAATGAGACCTGAGAATTTTCACGGACATAAAAAAACCTTACCGTCAGAATATCAATACCTTTTCATCTTCACATCGAATCAAAATAAAGTTTATACCTTTATTATATTTAAGAGATAAATTATAAAAATAACTAATAAATGATAATAAAGAAATATATGAAACTAAAAAATAATTGTTTTAACAAAGTTATTATTTTAAGAAAAATTGCGTGGCTAGCTTAAAAGAATCATCCAGTATTTTTTTTTGCTTATTATTATTATTATAATTATGTAAATAATATTTCTTTTAATTTTAGTGTAACAAACTATTTCCTGGTGAACCTTTCAATTGCTGATCTTCTAGTTACATTTATATGTATGCCAATGGCAGTTGGTCAGTCAGTTACCGGATTATGGTTATATGGTGAACCAATGTGTAAATTGACATCATACTTACAAGGTAATACAATTTTTTTTAACAATAGAAATCTATTTTTTCTAATTAACGATTTATATAAGAAAAACTCGTACACATTCAAAATGAATGAGAATAAGTATTCGCATAAAAAAAAATAGAACAAGTATTACACCACTCCTTCTGTTCGTAATTTGCTAATTTCATTTACATCTAATCCCAGTGACTTCAATATCTCGTCTGTATGTTGACCTAATAATGGAGGTTCTCTTATAATTTTATTACTAGTGTTCTGGAAGGTCACTGCAGGGCCAACTAATTTTAATTTAATATTATAGGTACAATCAATTTCTTGTACAATATTTATGGCCTTTGAATGTTCATTATTAAACGCCTAAAAAAATAAATAAAATCAAATGAAAAACTAAATTTTATAAATTGAATGAACATAGAATTTTTTTTTTTTTCAAGAAAAATATGCTGTAGAGTATTAATGTAAAAACTAAAAAGTTAGTAGTTTAGATTGAAGTATACAAAATACTTGTGACAAATCATTTACTGATCCACAAGGAAATGGTGCTCCATTAAAAGTGTTTGTCCATTCGCAATTTGTTTTAGATGCTAATATTGGCTCAATTATTCTATACAATTGATCTCTATATTTAACGCGAGAAACATTAGTCATAAATCGTTCATCTTTAGCCAATTCAGGTCTATGAATTAATTCACAAAATGATTTGAACTGACAATCACTACCTGCACCAAGAGTAAAAAATCCATCTAAAGTCTTAAATGCCTTATATGGTACAATGCTTTCGTGTTCTGTGCCCCATCGTTTAGTCTGAATCCCTGAAAATTGATGACTAATATTAACAAAATAAATTACTAATATAATTTACAAATGTTTAAAATTAAAGCTATAATTTCATTTATTAACCTAAAAGATGAATAAAAAATTCAAATCAACTTTATTTAAATACTTCTATTTTAGTATACTGTTTAATAATAAAATAAAACCACTAATAAGCTAATATTTAAATATAAAAGTATCGGAATAGTACAATTTATAAGACTTTTTTTTAATTTAATATTACTATGTTTATTAATTTTAGTGATCTAGATTTTTTTTTAATAAACTCAATCAAATTATTATCAAAGCTATTTATTTTAAATATTTGAAATTCAATGAAATTATAGCCAAGTATCGTTTAAGAATACATAAAATAAATAAAAACAATTTAAAATAACACACATTTATATAGATATAGGTAAAGATAAGACTTCTTTAATATTTTATTTTATTGTTCTAAAAATGTAACAATTTTCGGAATTGATATATTTTGAACCTAAAAACATTATAATAAGTTGTATAGTGCTACTATAGTCGGCAAGTGATAATTTTAGATAAAAACATAGATGCTCCCATTTATATTTTTTGATATACTTTTTAAAAAAAAGTAAGTAAAGCAACAGTGTCGGACGTATACCCATACAGATCCAAAACTTAATCATAAACAACTCTAATTGTTGAACAAAAAATAACCTCAGAAATTATAGTCAAAAGTCTAATAAAGGACTAAAAATCCGTCCCGTATTTTATATGTTGTTAGTTACACATGTGTTCAAATGCCCACACTGGATTTCTATCAGGTTGTAAACAGACGACTTGACCGTTTCTCAACGCTACATCTGAACAAGTACGATCATTGTACGACTTCTCATTTTTTTTACATTTGTAATATATTTTTTGTTTATCTTGACGCTATTGTGTCATTAGTATTAAGTATCTCCCCTATCCACATTTATATATAAATATAGTATTTCATGATTTGTGTTAATACAGTTAATTGTTTATATGCAATTCATTCATCATACAGTCTACTTTCTTACTTCTTTATTCTCGACATAACCTGATTAAAGACAAAAAACAACAATTGTTAAGTAACCCGCTTCAGTAACACCGAGCTCTGGGTTCATAAATATGGTTAAGAAGTCACATAAATGAAGGAGATCGTTATGACCCTAAATGGACCATTAAAAATGTATAATAATAATCTTATACATATTGTGCTAATACAAGACCTACTCAAAAAAAATTGCTCTCTCATTTTCATTAAAAATTTAAAGATATCAAAATAATATTAGATTTATAATAACTAATGTTACTATAACAACTAACAGATAAAAAATCTAATGAAAAAATTGAATCGTTAAGTCTCAATTATTTTGCTAACACAAATGAATTCTTATACCGTAGATAATACCAAATATTTACCCAATAAAATCATTTCATTATTTGATACATACTTATTTAACGGTAAATACCAAATAATCAGTCATATCAAGAACCTTGTATATTTGGGTAAAAACAAGTTGAATAACGAAAATGTTGCTATTAAAATAAGAAAAATTGAAACAGCAAAAAATTCTACTCCTAAGTATGAAAATCAAATTTATAATGCAATTAGTCACGTTAATATATCTTTACCATCGATTTTTTGGTATGGTAATGTCAAAGGTTACTCAATTATCGTGATGAACTTATTAGGACCATCATTGGAACAACTTTTGAAAGATAAAAATAGTACTTTATCAATACAAACAGTTTCTAGATTAGCCATTGATGCTATTGAATTACTAGAATACATTCATTGCAAGGAATATATTCATCGAGATGTTACTCCGTCTAATTTTCTTATAGGTCTAAACTCAAACAGATGTAGATTATATCTTATCAGTTTTGGAATTGCCAAGCGATATCGTATAGGAAAAATGCACATACCTTATAGCGAAGGCAAGCCTCTACTAAATAATCCAGTGTATGCATCATTAAATGCACACACAGGTATTGAACTTTCTCGCCGAGACGATTTAGAATCTTTGGGGTACGTTCTTCTATATATTGCTAAAGGTTTACCGTGGATACAATTAAAATCGTTCAATACAGTGATCCAAAGATGTGAAAGAATAAGTGAAAAAAAAATGTCCACATCAACCGAACAGCTTTGCAAAGGGCTCCCTATTGAGTTTATGACTTTTTTAGACTACTGTCGACGTTTAAGATTCGAAGAAAAACCTGAGTACGGGACCTATAAGTTTCTTTTTAGGCACTTGTGCAGATTTAATGATATTTGTTGTGAATGGATTTCATCGGAGAAAAATAAAATTAAAAAGAATACTACAAAAGTTGATAATATCAAAAATAAAGCTTTAAAATATTAATTGTAAATATATCTTATAATAAACAGTCAATATCCTGTTATATATCAACACAAAATCGTGATAACTGTTTTTCAGATAAATAAAAAATTACTTAAAAAAAATAAATAAAATACTAGTCTCATAAATATTTTGAGAATAAATATTTATAAAAATGGTAAAATAATTTTCACCTGAATTTAAATAGTTGGATCCTAAATTAATCATCATTGATAGTTGAGTTGACATAAGGTCGCATTCTATTTTGTCACCTAACCCTCGATGTAGAGCAGCTAAAATAGCACCATGTGCATACATTCCTGTCATCAAATCGGTGACTGGTACTGCTACCTTAACTGGTTCAACTTTACCGGTAGCATTCAATAAACCTCCAAGTGATGCTGCTATAATGTCATATCCTGGCTTTTTGCACCACGGACCCTTTGTTCCATAGCCGGATATGGAACAATAAATTAGTTTTTCATTAATTTTACGAAGATTTTCATACCCCAGTCCATATCTATTTCAAATGAAGAATCATAATTTATAATTTTTATTATTAATACTTAAAATATATTAAACTAGGCTCTTTCTCAGACCTGGAGCCCTACAGACCTAATGCGCTGTTGGCGAGTGAATTCTTTAGGCCATCCTTATAGGTTCGATTAAAAATATTCAACAAAAAAAAAATTACATTACATCAATGCATCAAAAATAAAAAATTTAGAAAGGTTCAATAGTAAATTATAATAAGAATACGGTTGATATTTGGTTTCCAGGACAATTATGTAATAATAATTCAATTTTAACACTATCTTTGTTATCAACAATATTAATAAAATTGTGCTATGAAGTTATAAGCTATTACTACAACATAAAGTTTTTATTTATGCCAAACTCCAATGAAATTTTTAATAAACATCTTTAAAATGTAATTTATTAACCTCGATGCGAAACTGAGAAGGTTTTTAATTTTACTATGATGTGTTTATTTATTGTTTTTTTTTTTGTATCTATCACTACTTTTCCTCAGCTCTCACTAGACAAATTTTTTTTTTAATTTTATTACATTATTCAAAGTATGTATTTTTAAAATTAATATTAATTTCATTGTTTAATGTTATTAGACCAGAAAGTAGATATTTATAAACATTTTGAGAATTATTGTACTATTAACTTTGTACTAGATAAAAAAATATTTTAGTACATAAGATGGAATGGATTGAATTGTGGAGGAGAGTAATCTCCTTTTTGTGTTGTACGATTTCGACAATGAGTCTTTATTATTATGTATCACTTTATTGTACTTTAATGTAACATTTTCCATCAGAATATGCGGGTACGCATTCACACACGAGCAGTGTTGGGCGACCGGGAGCATCGTCCGAGCAATATTTTAAAGTTACTTATATAACTTATATTATATTCTTAAATAAGCGAGGCGACCAATCGTGTGCGTGCGGGTACGGTTTAGCTGCGATCTTATGTACGGGTTTTGGACGACCGGCAGCGTAGTCCATACAGTAAAATATTAGTGTATTACTATATTAGGTAATTTATTCTTAGAATTAACTACGTGTACGTTCGTCGTTATTCGTTTGCTGTATCAGTTTAATCGCTATTATTGTTATTTTCATTTCTATTTTCTACTGCGACCTTTAAAATAATATGTTTATTGTGTTTTATTTTATTATTTGTGCTGCTAATAATTGAGAATCATTAGTCTTTTTACTCTTTTGGCGTGGACATCCTTTATGGTAGTGTTAAGTGAGATAATGATTTTCCATAAGTTAGTTTGGACTCGAAGATTTTTTTTTTTTTAAAGCTGTTAGGGATACAACAAAATTGTACCATTAATACTACTAATCAGGATATAATAAATGAAATGGAATTATATTGCTTTTAGAATAATCCACTAATTTCTTAAAATTATACACTATGTATAAGTTTGCATTGAAGCGTTGCTTATGGTAATGATTTTAATTACTATCAGATATCATCTATACCACTTAAAAAATAATAATAAATTTTCTTTCTCATGTATACCTTTTAAACTATCTATAAAGAATTAACCCTCTTAGTGTCAGTTAAAAAATTATATTTTAGTTATAATAGTAATATTTAAACGTTAACGCTCACTTATCCAATGTTCCAGGAACATAATTCTCAATAAAAACATGCGAAGTTTCAACCAATTGACAAAGAATTTTTTTTCCAGTTGGAGTCTGAAAATCTAAAGACATGCTTCTCTTATTTCGATTTAGTGCAATAAAGTACAAACTTAGTAATCCATATTCAGGAATATCAGCAAACGGAGGTCCAAATCGGCGACTCTCATCTCCAGTATTAGGTTTCTCAACTTTTATCACATCAGCTCCCATATCGGCTAAAATCATTGAACAATAAGGACCCGCTACTATTCGAGTCATATCCAAAATTCGAATGCCTTCCAATGGTCGTGATTTTATGACTGTGGATTGACAATAGTTTCGTCCATTCAAAATAATTGACAGACATATTTTTTTTAACATGATCACAATATTTTTATAATAATAGTTCAATGAAATAATTGAAATATATATAACAGCATAATGATTTATACTATTAACACAGTTATAATAATAAATAATATTAACAGTATATAAATTTTGTATTGAATCGTTATTACAGGATCTTATCAAAAGTATACAATACACATCACATCCTGTTTTTTTACAGATTAATTTAAATTAACAATACGTAAAAACCAATACACACTCGTCAACATCAAGACTGATAACACATAACTCTTTATTTTTAATGTTTAACATCTAAATTGGTGTATAAATATAACCTTCAATTTATGGTTAATATCAACACATATCTACCATAAATAAGAATGCATCATATGTTTCATGCTTAATTAAATAATACAGTCGTGCCACACATAAGAAAAAATATTCAAATGAATTTTTATTAGTTAATAAGAAAAGACTAAGAAGTATAGTATTTTATATTCAAATATTGGAATTAAAATTTTATTAACTCTCTGTTTTATATGTTTAATTTAATTTAATATCCCAATAAGTACTGTGGCTTACATATAACAGATACAATTTCAATTTTATTAATATGTAATAATACATATTACACAAATGGATTTTTGAATTTGTTTTATAATTTTTAGAGAGATGTAGAAAAACGTTTTCAGTTGTGTTTCAAAAACATTACGATTTAATTTAATCATAAAATGTTTTTCTTCAAAAATATCAATTTGCAAAAGGCTCAATTGAAATTTATTTTTAATTTCTAAAATTTTAATCATACTGACATATCAGATTATGGAAAATAGTCAAAAAGTTTTAGCTTCGATGCGAAGCTGAGAAGGTATTGGTTTTACTATGATGTGTTTTTATTTTTTGTGTGTCTGTTACCACTTTTTCTCAGCTCTCACCGAACGGATTTCTTTCAACGATACGTCAAAAGATCACAAATCGTATCTAGTCGAAGACATTACCCTCAAAAATTGTAAAAATTTCCCATGTTTCCAATAAATGGGGGAAACCTCCAAAAAAACTACAAATTTGAAAATCGCTAATTTTCGAAATTTTTTCAATTTTTTTTACTAAAAACTGCCGTAACTTTTTCAAAAATGATCATATTAATATAACTTTTTTTTTTGATAGATGCTTGATGTCTTTACCTATCATTTTATATATTTTTTTTGAAAATCTGTCACTTAACCTGCCCACAGGGGGGGATTTAAAATGACAACTTTTTCACAAAAAATTAACTTTTGAAAATGTTCCGGAAAGTCTGACACTTTTATATATATATTAAATTAAAGCTAATGTAATGTACTTTACTATGAAAAAAAAAAATTGACCTGTGGACTTGTCTTTATGGTGATTTTATTTTTTACATTTTTAACTTTATAATGCTATAACTTATTGNATTTATATATATATTAAATTAAAGCTAATGTAATGTACTTTACTATGAAAAAAAAAAAATTGACCTGTGGACTTGTCTTTATGGTGATTTTATTTTTTACATTTTTAACTTTATAATGCTATAACTTATTGAAAAGTGTATGGATCAACACAATTTTTTTATGAGAAATAATATTTTTTAATAATCCCTTTTTCATTCAACATACTTTATCTTAATCAGGATATTAATAAGGAACTAGCAGATTATGTAGCTTTTGGAATAATACACCAATTTTTTAAAATTAAACACTATCTAAAGATTTGCATCGAAGCGTTTTTTTTTATAGTGATTTTAATAACTGTGAGATATCATTATACTTGATCCAACTATGTTACGTCACCACTGTGCCGCGACCCCCTGTGCTGGGTTTTTTTAAATGTACTTATCATATTTTTGTCCAAGTTTGTTACAAATATTCATTTCTAGGAGTGTCTGTCGGTGCAAGCGTATTTACAATTGCAGCCATGAGTATTGACCGGTATTTGGCAATAGAACATTCAATGTCATTTAGAAAAGTGCTAAATCGAAAATCAACAATCTATGTGAGTATCTGACGAGTAATTTTGTAATACCATCATTATAACACAATTTATTATTATATGTTTAAAAAAAAACCTTGGTTTTAGGCCAAATTTAATTTTTGAGATGGCAAACCCCTCCATTTTTTATATAATATACATTTAATTTTCTTAAATTTTTAGGAGCTTAGTCACCCAACTCGCATGTATGTTACACAGAACTATTGAAATATTCACAATAAAAATAGACTACAATTAAAAATATTATATTAGTAAGAAGGAATTAATATAAAATTATTTAATATTTTGAGGCGTATTTATCATAGATTAGTTTAGAAGTATATGATTTTTATTTTCAAAAATATTTTAACTAAATTTTGGAAAATATTTCTCTCTATAACATTTTGATTGTCTAATATTTATTTAATTTTCTCAATTTTAATAATATTTTTATAAAATTTTTATCCCTCCGTCTCTTTTTTGGTCTTCCTCTACTTCTTCTTCCTTCAACGTTCAATTTAGAAAACATAAAATTTGAAATTTAATTAGTTAATATAATTTTATAATTATTTATAGAAACAAAAATAATTTATATAAGTAAAAATAGTATTTTTAAGGACTAAAAGTATTCTTAAACTTAAGCTTACATTTTCTCAAGCTTATAATATTATTCTTTTTCTCTTAATACACTCTTTCTATTAGTCTATTTACCATCGTATTAAATAAAACTTTTGTTTTAAACATTTTGACAATTTGAAATATTTATATTAAACTAAAACAATAATAGCAGTTTTTTCTAAGTATATCAAGTAATTTTTTATTTCATAAATTAGATTATCTAATGATCATTTTAATCCATTACTAAGTTATAACAAATCAGGAGTCATTACTTTAACTTAATTGCATCAGGTTTAAAAAACAATGTACTACATACAAATAATTAACTGCAAAGTGATAATCACAGAAAGTTAAATGTATTAGTACTATAAATAAAAAAATTATTAGTAAGCTACACAAATTAAAAACAATATACAATAGGGAATGTTACACTATCGTTTAAATACCATTTTTTTCCTCAGGTAATTCTAGCCTTATGGCTAGTCGCTATGGCAATATTTGGCCCGGTTTTGTGGGTTCGACAAACAGAATCCGTGGAGTTGGGCGATGACCCAATTTTAATAGATGCTATCCATAAATATGGACTAGCGTGGTGCATTGAAGACTGGAGCAATACACAAACCAAATTGACATTATCTAAACATGCATATGGTGAATCAAAAATTAATTCAAATAAATACTACAAAATTTTAAAGTTGAAATTTAAAATATAAACTTAAAAAACAAGTATCATTTTATTCGTAAATCAATACATGCCTTATTTACTATAAAAATTATTTTATACGAAATATATATATTAAACTAAAGATTTTGAACATAATCGTATGCTTACAAAAGAAATCTAGTTAAACTTTTTCAGCGACACATTTACCTATACTAATTTAACAATAGAAGACCCATAAAAGTTTCGAGATAGTAGAAATATTTTTTCTTCGAAAGAACTTGGATCTATAGTAGTTGTTTGAAAGTAAAAATACATTTTTGTTTGCATTGATGCGTTCATAGAAAAACCCAGCACAGTGAGGTTGTGTGGCATAGTGGTACTCGGCATAGTGGTACTCGGCATAGTTGGGATAAGTATAGATGACATCCGACAGAGAATATCTGACACTTGGATTCTAAATCTGTTAAATTTCACAATAATTTGTGTATTTTTAATTTCACAAATTCTATGTTTTAAAATTTCACTGAAATATTAAATGCTTATTAAATTATATACTTAATTGAAAATGTAGTTTTTTTATTGCAATTTTTTTATTTTAACAACTGATTTTTCATAGTAAAAACATCGTCTGAATTTTTTTTTTTATCATTTTTTCTAATGATGTAATATACTATACTTGATATATTTTTAAAAACGCAGTAATTTCAAAATATTTTCGAAAATCAAGTTAAAAAATTATGTTAACATGCGTATATGGTCGCTTTCAATTCCTTTAGGTAATTTTAATACATTTTTTATAATTTCAAAAATTTAGATTTTTTTTTTTAGTGACTATAGATTAAACAAGATTAAAATATGGTTTTTTTGATACATATTTCAATACAATTGGGGTAATGATAGCTGAGTATTTTCATGGTCAGACATAAAAAACACATCACTGTAAAAGCAATACTTTCTCAGCTTCTTCGCATCAAAACTAATTTTATGAAAGAACTAGCCCTATGATCATTTTTTTTTACTTTAATAGTTTTTTTAGATCAGTCTTAGAAGGTAGTTAAATATCAACGAGTTTAGGTTGATATGATCACTAATTTACATGGCCAATCATTAAATATATATGTATATATATAAATATATTCTTATTATGTTAAACCTTATAATTGAACCATTTATATTTATTACTTAATTTCTACTACATATTTTTTATTTTTTAATTCATTTTTTTAATTAGAAGTACTGTTGAATTTTGAAGAAACCAATGAAGTTTTACTCTAAAAAGTGTTTATCAATTCAATTGATAATATTTGTTCTCTATTTATTAATTTAATATTAAAAATTCAAAAAAAATTTTAATATGATTATACCTATTTAGCAAAAATCACTATATATTACAGGGAAAATTATATATTTGTTAAATAATTATAATTTTATTTTTAAGGTATTATATGTTTTGTGTTAGTATATGCGACGCCAGGGTTACTTGTAACTGGCGCCTATACATTAATGGGCCGAAGGCTTTGGGTGGTACGTCCACCTTGTGATGATCAACAGGGCATGATCAGTGTTCAACAGGTTAGCTGAACTTTAAAGTTTACCAGTATAAAGATGGAACTCATAATAAACAATTTTGATGATTTCATTTTTCCTACTAATATCAAAACTTCCTTATTAAACTGTGCCATTTTCATATTAACTTTATCTAATAAAAAAAAAATATGTTTAGGTTAGAATGATTCGTGAAAGACGCAGAGTGGCTAGGATTTTATTCTTTTTAGCAGTTATATTTGCATTATGTTGGCTTCCTTATAATCTATTAACATTATTTTTAGATTTGGATGTAAATTTAATTCAGATCGGCTTGGACCAAGTAATTTTTTTAAGTTAAAATTTTTGATTGTTAAATTGACAACTATTTTTTTTGAATTAGACTATATTATCTTATTTGTTTTAGGAAAGCCTTATGAAATGGTATCCCTTTACTTTATTGTTAGGTCATGCTAATTCAGCAATAAATCCTTTGCTTTACTGCTTTATGACAAGAAATTTTCGAAGAACAATCAAAGGATTTGTATGTAACACAGGTATTGCAAAACCAAGAAGAAGAAATCGATGCAAAGTAAGTTGATAGTCTGCAACTTCCATATAAATCAACTTTTTAAAAATTAAACAAGTTTTATTTACATCTAAGCGAACCGGTATTTATTATTGTATGTATATTATACTTGGCAAAAAAATGATTAAATTTAGTAAATATTGTGGGTAGTAGATATACTAATTACACATAATTGTGTAATAGTAAATAACTCAGATCAAGTTTAAAACATTTTTTAGTACTAATACATCGAAGGAGAGGTTTAAAGTAAGGAAGAAGATAAAAAAAATGTAATTTATTCAAAAATTAAACATAAATGATTTCCTCTGGCTTCCAAAAACTAAAAGGTAATTCAGTAATATTTAGTCAGTTTCGTGAAATTATTCTAAACTAACACTGCAATCGAAAAAACAACCAATTCTTACATAGGTTAAGACGACCTTTGTAAATTATGACCAATGAAGGACAGAAATGCTAAAGTCTAAGTTTAATTTTTTTAATTTTACAAATTTTGGAGGAAGTATCCAGGCATTATTGGCACTATTTGTAGACACCTGTATAAAACCTTATAATATGCGTATTCATCGTGTAATTTATTAACAAATTGCGGTAAACACATTTATTTTACAAAGCAGTTTTTTATATTTATATTTCAATAGTTATATGAAAGTCATTGTTTTAATGCTCAAAAAAATTTCAATTTAGAACTGCAAAATGTAAATCAGATCCGATAAAATTGTAATTTTTAGCTTAGACTTCATGATATTACCTTCTATCATAACAATTATAATAATCAATCTGGGATTTAATTAATCGGTTTCAGAAGGAGTTAGCAGAAAGGAGCACAACAAGTGGATGCGGCTCGTACCGCAACCCACATCGGCTGTACTTCACCCTAGCCCAATTGCGCCAAAACAATACCATTCAAACAAGAACTGCAACCATATCAAACCTTGCCGTGCTGTAAAAGAAAATGTACACTCTGAATATAGTTTATAATGTTCAAAATTATACTATTTGCGATATTAATTAACATACCATGTATAAATTTATTTCATATTTATATAAAATTCAATATTATAATATTATTATATATTGTATTAAAACTTAAAAAAAGCTCATAAATTTGCCAATGAAGTGTATAAACTTCTTTTAACTATATCATTCATTTTTTACTATTTTTCTTTATATATTTTATATAAATCTAAATAATCTAATATTGTTAAGTGTATTTAATTTTCAAGATTCTAGCTCCTTGTTGTTCCTCTGAATAAGATTTTTTTTCTAAAATAACTATATTTTCCTAACAATATAGTAATTCTGGTTTATGATTTTTGAATGTAAAATTATTACAAATTTTGTTATAATATATGTATAACTATTTTTACTTTGCTTTAAATAATTTATCAAAGTTTCTTAATAAAATTAACTAATAAAACAAAGAAAAACAATCGAAAATATTATTTAAAAAAAAGAATAATAATTACTACTGAAGTGTTATTAAAAATACATTAAAAAAAACAACGTTGTAGAAACGAAGAAAATGTTGTTGTGAAATTAATGCATAATTTTTTTATCCTCAATTGAAATTCATAAAAACATAAAAGTTAAAGAAATTGATTTGTTGAAATCTGTGATTACTTTCCAAAAGTTGATATGCCAGTTATAGCATTTTTTCAGAATAGCTAAAACAAATAAAAATTTTTAACATTGTCTTATGCAAAAACAAATTTTTAAAATGCAAAAATAAAGCTTCTCCGTAAATTTGATTCCTAATTGTTTTCGGGACATGACAGAAAACGTCCTTCTTAACGTAAGTTATGAAAATGTTCAATAACTTATTATTGTGGTTTATCAGTTTTTATATATGAGCCACAGAAATAGTACAAATAGTAATATTGTTAAAACTAATATATTTTAGACTAATACCAAATTAAACTATAAGTTTTCCCAAATCTTTTTGTTATTTGATCTAAAATTTAACTAGAAAATTAATGAAAACCTACATTAAAAAATTACATTATGCACAAAAATATTTAAAAAATTACACAACAATTCCAATTAGTATGGATTAGCTAGAGTACATTTATTTTAATATTAACTATACTATGTTATAAACTATTAAATAGACTGCAGTGATATGCTTAGGATTTTGCCGTGAAGGAGAATAAACATTAGGAATAATTTTAATATACTAATAGTTAGTACATATATACATATATTAGTACGTATATTTGAATAAATAAATTTTTTCTATCTTGAGAAATGACACTAAAATAACTGAGTAACTGAAATTTATTTGGTTTCATTTATTTCAGTTAAACTAAATGAGAAAATAGCGTACTATCTATTTTAAATTTTATATTCAATAAATTTAGTTATGTTGTTATTATTGTGGCGTTTTTCCTTCAACGGTGACTTTTAATATAGACATTCTTAGAATTGTTACATATGGTTTAACAAAAAATTTATTCAGTCTAGTCGTAACCAGTATTTTTACATTAAAAAACTTGACCGTTAATCTAGAGAAGGTTGTTTAATATTAATTACTAATACTGCGAATTTATTACATAAAAAAAATATGCAATAAAATAGCCATTACATAAGGTTTGTAAAATTTTTAAAATATGAGCTTAAAACCTTATTCTATACATCACAATTAGATAATTTTTTACGATTCTATGATAAATAAATAAGATTTGTTTAAATTAAAAAATAATTAGGTATAGATTATTTTATTTTAAAGCATTTTAAAAATACTTTATATTATTCCAACACTTTTTAATTTTTTTTTTAATGTCTATTGAACTTAATTAAATAAATTCATTTTAGTTATAACCTTTTTACCCTTAAACAATTAAAATTTAAAATTTGACTAACTGGTGTAAAATTTTTAATTTAGGAAACAAAACATATATGTTCTGTTTCCTATTACATGAGCTTCACTGTAACTTAACTGTCGTTTACTTCACGGCATAATAGTAATACGGAACTAATATACAAAACAATTTATAATGGGTTTACACATTTAAACAACTACCAAACTGACTGGACATTATATTAATTTATTATTTTTTAAAAGAGTTAACATTATACTATAACAAAAAATTTTATCAAAAGATCTCATTAGATGAATGTGTTAAAACATTTTTTACAAAAAACTATTATAAATTAGTCATACTCGTAGAAAATTTATCTGAATATTTCAATTTGCCAATAACAGTATTATATTAACCAATATTAAAAACTAAAATTTTAATAAAAATAAAAACTCCCATTCAAGAAAATATTTCATACTGAAAACTATACATCTAATCCAACTTTAAATTTAAAAATTGAATTTGCTTGATTACTTCAGAAAAAACGTTAAAATAAACCTTAAATAATAAACATCGATTAGTATACGGTTAATTCGATAAGGGACTGCAATCCACCAGTTACATTATATTTTATTCTGAGATTCTCAAACAATATAACTTAAACACCAAAATGTGTTGAGACCATATTTAAAAACTTACCATTGAATAAACTGAGTAAATATTGAAAATTCCAATGTGTCAAATAACAAAAGGACGAATCAATAATAATCAAGCAAATTTCAATAAACACTTGCAATAACCAACAACCAACCTTACAGATAAGAACCTTCGCTAACAATAACATAACATTAACTAATTTAGATATAAATTATAACCACCCTGGTCTTATCAATACATCGTACCCTGTAACCAAGAACTAATAACAGTCTCACAAGTATTAATACTAAAATTATATCTATGTGAGATAACTAACACGGGTAATTCAGATTTCGTGGATAAAAATCCTGTCTTTAAAATACATTAGAAACAGGTTGAGAAAGTATACTTTAAATATAAATATATATTAAAAATTAATAATCATTAATATACTACATACAAAAAGCCATTGGAGCTTTTTAACTACAACCAATGATGTTAGATAGTCATGGGTCGAGTTGAATATTTTTGATTTTACGACAGCTACATCGGACCGCTGAATTGAAAACTTTATATTAAACATTTATGCATTTTAAAATAAGAAATGTAAAAAGTTTTAATAAAAATATCAAACCTCTTGGTTTAAATTCTTACGGGTTTAGATTTATTTAAATCCAAGTTTAAGTAAAAACAATATTCTTACAACGAGAAAGTTGCTAGTCTTTTAACGTTATTAATTAGTATTATTTTAACCCAGTAAATTCAATTAAAATCAACACTCTACTAGTCCCAGGTGAAAATCTACGTGCAATTATGTGCGACTACAACCACACTCGGAGTTAAAATAATTATAAAATTTAGCTTCGATGCGAAGCTGAGAAGGTATTAATTTTACTATGATGTGTTTTTTTATTTTGTGTGTGTGTGTGTGTGTGTGTCTATGAACGCTCAATCTCAGCTCTCCTGGACCATTTTTATGAACGATACCTCAAAAGATTATAAATCATATCTAGTTTAAAACATTACCCTAAAATTAAAAATTATTCCCTCGTTCCCTGTAAATTGTGAAAATCCCCCAAAAAATTACGATTTTTAAAGTCGGTAGATTTCGACATTTTTTTTTTTCTAAAAATAGCCGTAACATATTGAAAAATGAACAAATTAAAATAATTCTTTTTTAAATAGAAACCTTAGATATTTTCCTTTCATTTTATATCATTTTTTTGAAAATCTGACCCTTAACCTGCCCACAGAAGGATATTCAAAATAGCAACTTCTGCACTAAAATTTAACTTTTTCAACTTAAGTTTTGAAAATGCTTCAGAAATACTCAGAGCTTCAAACATATGTTAAAATAAAAATAATGGTTATGCACTATAAGCTAAAAAAAAATTGTCTCGACAACTTATCTTCTATGTGCAAATGTTTGCTGTTGTTAAAAAAACGTGCATTGTGGTGTTAAAATTAATGATTTCATATTTTATTTTTAGCTTTAGATGTGAAGCTGAGAAGGTATTAATACTATTATAATGTTTTTTTTTATTTTAATTTAATTTTTTTTTAATTTTTAATTGGTTTTACTATGATGTGTTTTTATTTTTTGTGTGTCTGTTACTACTTTTTCTCAGCTCTCATCAAATCGATTTTTTTCAACGATACGTTAAAAGATCACAAATTGCATCTAGTCGATGACATAACCCTCAAAAATTGTAACAATTTCCCATGTTTCCAATAAATGGGGGAAACTCCCCAAAAATAACAATTTTAAAAATCCGTAATTTTTTAAACTTTTTTTACTTATAACTGCCATAACTTTTTCAAAAATGTATGGATCAAAACAATCATTTTTTATAGATACATTAGGTATTTAATTATCATTTAACTTTTTCAACTTTTGAATATGCCCCAAAAATAATAACACTTTTATATATAATTTAAATTCTTCAAAAAATTTTTAATTTAAATATTGCTAATTTTTGACATTTTTTTAATTTTTCTTACTTAAAAGTGCCATAACTTTTTAAAAAATAACCAAACCAATATATAATTTTTTTTATGTAGATACGTGAGGTATTTATATATCATTTTGTATATTTCTTAAAAAATCTGACCCTTTATTTCGACCTACTTTTTTTTTATATCGGACCATTTCCCTTTATATAGGGGGGCTCAAAACTTAAAAATATATATAGAAAGTAGAACTTTTTCAACTTAATTTTTGAAAGTGTTCCGGAACACTGACTCTTTAATGATATCTTAAATTAAATCTTATGTAATATACTTTAATATGAAAAAAAAAATTTCGTACTTTATTTTGTTTTCATGGTAAAAACAGACATAAAAGTTAATAAAAAAAATTATGATTTTTGTAAAAAATTACAATATTAAATTATTAATTATCAATTTAATAGTATATTTAATTCTATAATAAATATTTATTCATATATTACACTTAAAAATGCATATAGAAAGTAGAACTTTTTCAACTTGACTTTTGTAAGTGTTTCGGAATTAATGACACTTTTATATATATATATATATCTTAAATTAAAACTAATGNTCATGTTGCTTTTGGAATAATCCACCAATTTTTTTCAATTAAACACTATAGAAAGTTTTGCATCGAATCGTTTTTTATGATAGTGATTTTAATCACTGTCAGATATTATCTATACTTGTCCCAACTATTCCACGGCCTCACTGTGCTACTGTTTTTTTCAACCTATAAGTTTAAAATAAGTTAAAATCAGCTATGTTACAGTTATTTTTTTACGAATAAAATTATTAATTTTTATACAAGTATTTTTGTAGGATTAATTTAGGAAGAACTATATTTATATTATAACTATATATTTTCGATATTTGTAAATCAAATTGTAAATTATTCACAAAGATTTACACTATTAGAATTTTGTTAACTCTATTATTAATACACGAATTACAGCCTTTTATTATATTTTATAATACAGCAATGTTATAAATTATCACTAAATAATGACGCATTATTTATAAACTTTTAAATATTTTTTAATATCCAGATTTTAATTTTTAATATAATAATCAATGTTCAAACGTACTGAAAACTAATCCTTAGAGATTGGTCTCTCAAATTTTAATAAAAAATCGAAAAGACATATGACCCTGAACAGTAGCGTTGACATCCAGCAATGATAACTATTTTATAAAAATTGACACATGTTATGATGACAAGGTATGTAACTACAATCAACAACACTAGCTAAAGCTGATAAGAATTCAAGGTAAACGAGAAATGAATATTTCTCCGTAATTTTTAAATTGCATCCAATGTCCGTACTACTCACAACAAGTTTGTAGTACACAACGTTTTGAATTCTAATTATGATAATACCTACGGTCGTACTGACCAGCCGGCTGTTTTAATAAAAATATATTCAGTACTAATCCAGCAGCAATAAAGAGTGCGCTTAATTTTAAACGGTTATTGAATCCTTGTACAGAGTCGTTGTAAAATATTTTATAAATAAACATGTAATTAAATTGTACTAACCTAAAGATAGTGTTATATGAATTGATCTCTTAACAAATTTTAAAAAATGAACTATTTAGTTTTTATAATAAGCATTGCACTACTACCAATTTTACCACAAGCTGACACAAAATGTAAGTTACAAATGATTTTTAAATCACGTATATATAAATCAGCTTAAGTTTTAATGAATTAAAAAAGTATTCATTGTAATTTATTATATAATTACAATAAATAAATAAATTTACTTATTTATAAGGCATTGTTCAGAACTATATTATGAACACAATGGTTTATTTACTGCCACAGCATTTAGCTAAATAAGATAAATAAGTTTGAAACTAATAAAAACAAAATTTTGGGGATTCCTCTATATTTATTAACATTTACTTTTTTTATTAACAAAACTAAATTTAACCATATTGCTAGAATTTATTTTTAATAATTTCATTTTGCTATTACCATTAAACTGTTATAATGATGTTCAAAGTACTTTTTAAACTATTTAGTGAATACGTGTGGTAATACAAATCTAAAATTTATTATAATTTACAGTTAAACTATGCGTAATTCCGAGTCTTACGGGAAATGATAGAACTCAAATAAATTGTCCTATTTTATCTCAGAATCCAAATAGTCAAGTAGAATGTGTTTTCGCCAACGATAAGTAAGTCTTTTTATGTCAATTAATAAAAGTTGCAATCAAATATTTATTATAGTACTATTCTTACCTGATTAAATTAAACAATATAAAAAAATTTTAATCATAACGCTGTCAAAATGTTTTTTTTGTAACAATACCTAATTGTAATTACTTTATATGAATTTTATAGAACACATTGCATCAGAAAACTTCTCGATGGAAATGCGGATTTTGGAGTTTTTAAAGCCGAAGAAATATCATATGCATCACAATGGAATGACTTACTCAGTGTCACAAATGAAATTCGGTCGATTGAAAATGGTAAATTTTTTTTAAATTAATTATGCGTTATAAGCTTTGTATAAGAAGTTATGACAGATAAACTAAAATGAAATTTCTGTGGAAACTATGTGAAAGAAGTAAAAAAAGTCTAAATTAATTGTTTTTATACTTGTAAAAATTAATTATTTTAAGCCTACATTTCAAAAAATGAATTAAATTGAAATTGAAAATTAAAACAAAAATGAAATGAAATGAAATTGATACTTAAAACAAATATTTTTCATTCCAAAAATAGACATAAAAAAACCAGTTGTAATATACAATTTAACTGTGGCCATAACAGTATTTTCCTTGAGTCAATTAGTTATTAACTATCTATTGTAATTTCCCGTAGAACCTGTAAATAATTTGTATACTAATGTGTGATCTTATCATAAAACGAACAATAACTCAAAATGTATTCAACTGACTACATTATACAGAATGGAAACATATAACTAATAACTCTTGATCAAAGACTTGAATAACTTGATACAAAATTTATTTTACTTTATTTTGTTTTGTTTTAACAGTTATAGATTATGTTAAAATCAAATTCTTTATTATTATACATTGTTAATAACAAAAAAAAAAATATATATATATAATTATTATTTTTTTTAAATTTATAAATAACCATTTTTTACTAAAAATTTTAGGAAGAATACTTATTGATATACAGGTTTTTAAATACACCCAAAGAAAAACCTCAATCAATTTTGATAGAGAAAAACCTCGATCTATATAATAAATTCATTGTTCAATTTGATAAATATATCATTACTATTGAATCTATGATATATTTATCAATATGATAATTTTTTTTCTTGTCTTGAACAATAATTATTTATAAGAATAGTTATTTTGTTCCTATTAATAAAACATTATCATAAACCCTTGATAAAATTTCTCTATCAAAATTGATTGAGGTTTTTCTTTGGGTGTATAATGCGGTATTTTAAAATCTAAAAAAGTAATACGATTAATAAATTAATTGTATAAAAACATTTATTATTGATTTTTTTTTATTAGATAATTACGAATATAATATGGTAGTTCTTGTTAATGATGCTGCTAATATCAATAGTTTGGATGATTTGTATGACAAGCGTTTATGTCACCCAGGATTTTCTGATACTGATGATGGAATAGGATGGTCCGATTTAATCTCTCAGGTACTTTATTATTATTATTATTATTGCATATAACATAATTTTCATTAATTTATATGTATTATAGTGATATATATAATAACAATATAAAAATCGGTAGCACAGTGGCGACGCGGCACAGTATAGATGTGGCATAGTAAGGACAAGTATAGATATCTGACTGTAATTAAAATCACTATCATAAAAAACGCTTCAATGCTAATCTGTAGATAGTATTTAAATTTAAGAATTTGGTGATTATTCCAAAATCAAAATCAACTCCCATTTCTTTAATTATATCCTGATTAGTTATTTTATTTAAAAGTATAATATATGAATAAATATCTTCTATACTAATTCAACGTAGTGTGAAATTGATATATAATAATGTCGAAAATTATTGATTTTTAATACTATAATTTTTTTGGAGATTTCCCCCATTTATGGGGAACAAGGGAATTTTCGTTTTTCTTTTGACGTATCGTTGAAAGAAATTAGTCCGGTGAAAGTTGAGAAAAAGTGGCAACAGACACAAAAAAAAATAAATCATAGTAAAATTAATAACTTCTCAGCTTCAATGTGAAGCTAAAAATATTGAAAATTTAATTGAAAAAAAAACATTTGTTCAAAAATAAATGATGATAGAAAAAGAACACTAACAAAATGTAGATACCACGCATCGCTAAAAAAAGAGTACTCTGACAGACAATGAGTTAAGTGTCCCCTATTGAAAAGTGCATAGCAAAAGGAATAGAGTCTTCCTTTTGCTATGCACTTTTCCTTGTTTAATTATTTTTTCTAGTCCATCTTGTCTTATAATATAAACAAAAAAAAGATTTGACACTATATTGAGGGTAGGAGTCGCCTGTTCTTTTATATATTTAATTCTTCTAGTATTGATGCATTTGTTTTGTAGGCTGTCCATGTAATACGTAGAATTTTCCTAAACAATATCATTTTAAACGATTCTAAGTCGCGTGTCGCTATGGAAAATACTAATGTTTTCATCAGATATTTTTTAGATTATTTCGTTATACTAAGGTATTTCCATATCCTAAATAAGTTAAAAATTGTTGTCTTGACCATTTCTAGTCTTCTTGGCATAGAAGAAAAATTTTATGTTGTTTCGTGTGATATTTTACGCCATTTTTCTATAAAAACTATTATAAATTCATTTTTAAAGACATTATGTATTCAGCACTGAATTGAAAAAAAAAGAACTACCGAGATTTTTACCTCGATGACCTTTTTATTTTTTTCATAATTTTTTTTTTCAATTTTTACTCTTTTAAAAAATTACTCCACACTACCATTTTACCGAAGAAATACTAATTATCAACGATTTACACCTGCTTTTTCAAAAAATACTCTCTCAGAGGAGCCTTTTTGTAGCGCTACTTTTACATTTAATATTAATTTTTAATATTTTTTTTTGGTTTCAACACAACTTATACTATATTGAAAATTTAAAATTGCTAGTTACAATAATATTATTAAGAATAATATTTTACGCATTCTAAATTTGAATTTAAAATTCCAACATAATTCTTATATTTTAGTACCAAAAAAATAAAATATTTTGTATTGTAAATGTTATAAACTACTATCAATTTTTGTGTTAAGATAAACAAATGAAGGGATCAGTGGATAAAGGTATTAAATGATATTTTTAAAATTGACAAGAATGCTATTTTTGTAACTAAATATTAATGGTAAATTTTAATAACATTTTTATCAATTTATTATTTCAATAACCACAATTCAAAGTCATTTATGCATGTACATTATTCATTCATGTAATAAAATGCATTTTCGAAAAAATGTTAGTTAATACCTTTATCTATCGACCCCTTCAAATATTTTTAGCCTCCTCGATATTACTTGTTTATCAAATGTTTCTATTATTTCTATGTAACTTATTTGAGTTAAAATTTTTACATTGAAGTATTTTGAGAAGATTGTCGTTCCACAAAAATGTGATCCTAAATTAAGCATTGTAGAAAATCAGCTACGATCTATGTCGGAATTTTTCGATCTATCGTGCAAACCCGGTCAATGGGATCCAAATCCTGATATTGACAGTGATTTAAGTAATAATACATTAAATATATATATATTTTTTTAAAGTATACAACTCATGTATACTAAATTATCCATGAAATTTTATATGTTTTGCTTAACAGAAACAAAATATCCATCATTATGCGCCAATTGTAAAAATCCATTGTCTTGTAATTCAAATGACCAATTTTGGGGAAGACAAGGTGCATTAACGTGTCTAAATGAAGGTTTTGGAGACATTGCATGGGCTAGATTAAGTGATGTAAAACTACAATTTAAAGTACGATTAAACAAGAAATAGCAATCATAATTTTTTAACATTATAAAACAATTTTAAATGCAATAGCTAAAATAAATTTTACTGTAATTTTAAAGGTAGATGACAGTAACGTTTTTGGAAAAATTAATTTCTTATGTCCCAATGGTACAACACAACAATTAAATTCAACTAATCCTTGTGCATGGATATCTCGACCGTGGCCAGCTATCATTTCTAGAAAGTACATTTCTTAGACTAATTTATTCAAGTCATCACTTAAAATTATTGACTAATAAAATTTAACTAGAGAGAGTTTTAAAGATTATTACTTTTTCTATATTATGAATCTTGATTATGCTTAAAATTTTGAGTTTTCCTGTACTTTCTGGCACAAGAAATAGCTTTTAAAAGGAACGTTTAACGTAATTACGATGAAAAAAATAACTAAATTTTAGATTAAACCTAATTATGATAATTTATATATATTTTTATTTATTTATAATTGAATATATGAATTACAATTTATATACTCTTAAGTTTATCAGTATTTAAATTACTCATTAACTTCTACTTGAGTTCAATTCAAACAGCGCAGCTGAACATCAGTGCTAAGGCGGCGACTGTTTGATCCATTACGCCCACTACGCCTCATTAGTAATTAAATTACTATGATATTATTTTTATTTATGCAGATCAATGTCGAAAAATGTACAAGATATGGTTAATTACGCTATTACTGCAGAAGAAATGAAAAATGTTTCTTCGTGGCAATGGTCTTTAAAAAATTTACTGATTCATTACTCCGATCCTATAGTATCACGTGTGATAAAAAGTCCTAATGAGTACCTTTCAGTAGCACCGGGTTACTTAAAATCACAAAATAAAAATCACAACTGTGGTAAACGAGAGTTCTCATTGTGCGTTGAGAACATAGAAGCTTACAACAAATGTCAAACCCTTTCTGATATTTCTGTAGCTTATGGAATAGAGCCGAAAATGAACTGTATAGAAGTCATAGATTGTGCTAAACTTTTGGAAAATGGACATGTGGATATAATGATTATTGATGCTGATACACTGGCTTCATATAAAAGGTACTATTTACAAATAATAATGCATTGAAATAAAAAATATCAAAGTTAAGTGAAGTTGGAGTATTTTTTAGGTTAGTGTTGATTGAAGTCTGACATTAAAATCGTAAAACGCTTAGATACATATTTAAAAATACTTTAAAAAAAATTATTATATCTACCAATAATTACATGTTTTTCAACTTAAATGTTTGGTTACTCATAAAGTATAAGTTTCCGGAACAATTTTCTTTTTTTATATTATATTGCATTAAACAAGCTTTAATTTTAAATAATTAAAAATGATGTAAGCATTCCATTAATATACAAAATATTACCAAATCGGCTAATTTTATAAAAAATTGTATGATATTTGGATTAAATACTTAATAACTACTAGATATCAAAATTTCGTATAATTTTTATTTTATCATCTTAAATTGCGTTTTGCTAGCTTTAATTTTATGTTTTTTAATTATTAGAATATTATCGAAAATTAAAAACAAAAAAATTATTGATATGATTTTTAAACCCTGCAGTACTTTGTTAATGATTGAATTTTCAAAACCATGTCATCAAGATAAACATTTAAAGTATTATTAATAAACATTTTTCAAGGGTCCATCCAGTTTTCATAAAGTTATTTTAAAATAAAGAAAAATCTAAACATATATGCTTTATGAAAATTGTAATTTTTTGGGAAGTTTTTCAAAATTATTGTGCTGCTATTTATAACTAAATACGTTTTGTGATCTTTGACTAATCGTTGAACAAAATCGATTTAGTAGTAGCGGGGTATTGGCGTATCGGACAAAAAAACAGGAAACTAAAGTCTTTTTTTATTAAAGCGTATATAAATGAACTTGGAATACATAGTTTATTCTTTTATTTACTTGGTATTTATTTTACTTTTAGATGATTTTTTTTTCAGACATTACAAAACCAAAAATACGATTCTTTTTACAACTTCACTATATCATCGAGTATACCGTAAAGTGAGTGCTGTAATGTTGAAAAAGAAATTCGTAAAACATTTTGAACAATTAAAAGGAAAAATTGGATGTTTTCCTTCATTTGATGGCTTTGGTAATACTTCTATATTTCAATAACTATATATATTTCTATATTTCAATAATTAAATTTGATTTAAATTAATTCATTTATACAATTTTTTTTAGCTTGGAATTCATTTTTAATGACAGCAAAGTTACATAAATTAGAGTTATTTCCAAATAATGACACTATTAAACATTTCTTTAGTAACAGTTGCGCTATAATTAGTACAGATCATAACTCAATTCCCACATGTGAATTTGATGGTAATAAGTTAGAAATTTTATACTTAATTCAAATATTTAGAATACGCACACAAGTTTTGTTTAATAAATTATTTATTTTAGATATTATACCAGAGGAAAGTAAAAAAAATGGATTACTATCAGAAATTTTAGCACTCAGGTGTATCATAGATGGTGGAGGAGATGTTGCTTTCATAAACACTTTTCATTTGAGTCAATATTTAGGTAAATAATATTGTTTATTTGAAATTTTATCAATTTATTAATTATTATTTTTGTACAGACGTGTTAAGAATTCCATTAAAGTTAAAAGATAATTTCACTGCAATGAATTTTTCGTCTGTTTGTAGCTCAGATCATTCTCATTCTCCTACAGATTGTCCATTATCGTGGTCTAACTTTGGACAAGTAAATCTCTGGAATACTAAATTTTTAAAACTAAAAGAAAAATGTAATTAACTATCAATGTGATATTATTTAGATAATAATGAAACCGAACACAGCAACTCTAGAAGAAAATGAGATAATTACAGTTTTACTCAAAATGGACGAAACATTTGGTCAAAAGAATAAGATGGCTAGTGCCTTATCACCATCATTTTTAATATATGGCCCATTTGATGATTCAGCTGATCCCTTATTCCCTGTAACTTCTAAAATTTATTTTAATTAAACTCACTATAATTTTTATATTTTAATTTATTTTTATTGAAACAGATTGGTACAGAGAAGTTAGAGACTGTTAGCCAGATAAATAATCATCAAACTCCAATTATACCTGAATATGAATCAAATCTACACATTTTAGACAATAATAAATACATTAAATCTTCATCAAACTGTAACATAGCTTTAAATTCTTTATTATTAATATCTATTTTATTAGTATTTTTTATGTATTAACAGATTTAACATAAATGCTTATTATTACTGTGATTTATTTTGTACTTCAGAGAATTTTAACTAATGTTAAATAGTGTGCAATTTGTAAACATTACAATTAATGTCGATTTTAATACATTTACCTTAATTAAATATTTGTTAAATTTTGAACCAGCAACCATAATCAGATATTAGCAAGGATGGCTAATATACTTTAAAACGTATAAGAATATGTAGTAGTATTATATATATATATATAATCAGTAATCATCTGGTAATTTTATTGGTGTGATAACTTGTCTTCTATGTTCTCCCTCTATTGCTAGCGAAATATAAAACTTTTTTTTGATTATTATAATAATTTTACATCACTTAATACAACATAGATAATTATCAATTAAAATTTGTCATAAAATATGTGAAAAATAATTGTTGTAGAATCATATTTTCATTGTAGATACCGTTGCATTCGTCTATTATATTTAAAGCTAACTCTGGATACTAGCTTTTGTTATGGAAGTGTATAGCCAGTGATATCATAAATAAGTTGAACAGTGTTTCTCTATCAGAAAATATGAAACATTAATTTTAAAAAATTGTAGAAACCAGTTATTGTACTAGCTCTCAAAAAAACTTAACAAAAACACTATGAAAATTCGGTTTGATTAGAATGATATCAACATTTTATTATTGTATAAATAATTACTGTTTTTTTGAAAGGTAAACTTTTAATATTGTGAGTGTGCAATGTATCGGTGTAATATGTGTTTTTCACTTTAAAAGTAGTAATGTTTTGGATTAAACAATTAGTTAAAATACAACAGTGGAAGGAAAAAGAGTTTATATGCATAATTGTTTAGTTATAAATAGATATACAGACAATGGGTACATTAATACAAGCAGAGCGAAACAAAATTTTTTTGATCTTTGAAACTTAAGCATCCCAAGCTCAAAACACTATTTTTGTTTATGACTTCACATATAGGCTGTTTAGTAAATAAGGAAACGGATTTCTATTGTTTTTATTATTTATAACAATTTACCTATTTCCTTACTGAACACTCTGTATAATATGTTAACGTATATGGATAATGGAATTTTGTAGAATGACTTTTGCGCGCTTCATATTTCTATTAGGTACTAACAAGATGGATAAATCACATTAATTACTTCTGACGATATTATCTATGATAATATTTGATGGTAATAAGATAATAATAACAGTGATGCCCTTAAAATTACAATGCCTCAACAATTTCAATTTTTATTATACATTAAAAGATTTTTTTTTAGTTAAAGTAAAACGAAAACTAATTTAATGAATATAAAATTTATTAGTAATACATATATATATATATATTTCAATAACGATGAGAAACATCGTCATATTAAAAAGTTCGGCATGATATCAGTTTTCACCCGAAGTCATTAATAAAGTGGTTCATTATCTTGCCTAAATAAATTAATCAAATTTTAGGATATGTGGCGCCCTCTATTATTAAAGTTATTATTATAACTTAATTGTTAAATTTTTGTTGACAGGTACTAAGAAACAAGTGCTACATTGCGACCAAACTTTGCATAAACATTGTTATAGCGATCACTGTCTGTATTTCATCTTCTGTTAGGCGTTAATCATGGGAACATTTATCACATTTCTTGAACATAAATAAAAATATTGTTAAAGATATTTACTTTTTTTTAAATGGTAGTACTGTAACAACAACAACCCATCAACCTAAAACCATTCGTGTCGCGAAAAGTCTCGTAACTTACTCCGTCTCTCTCACGCACTCACTAAACGAAAAATGTTTTTGCATTGGTAAAAAAATGTTTTATCTTTAATGTCAATAATAAATCCTTACTACTTACGTCGGTACAATATTAGTGCGCGAAATTGTATTTTAAAGATTTTGTTTATAAAGGTGTTTAATATTTATACATTAAATAATAATATTTCAATCAGTTCGTTTACGGTGTTTGCCTCGAGCTAGTGGGTGTTTTGTGTTAATTTTATATTAATAATGATTTAAAATGTCGTTTTGATTCACCGAGTGTTGTTAATAGGTACGATAATTTTTTCGCGGCACTAATTAAAAATTCTCTACTTAAATTTTAAATTACCATTAATTACCAGATTATTCAGTTATGGTGCATTCGGCATGAACTTTTTTAACATTCATTCAATGTGGCGCCCAATCAAATGGATGGGGACAATGTGACTGCTATGGAAACTGATAAATTAGTCGACGACGATATCGGTAATAATCAGGTATGATAAAAATTTTAAATAATTAAAACCAACTTAGTATGTTAGTTCATTAAATAATTGGTAAAATTAATATGTACAATCCATGTAGATCATTTTTCTAACATATTTTTGTTAAAAAAATGTTCAATCTATGATACTATTTCTATTGTTTACTGTAAAAAGTCAAATAAGAAAAAGTCAATAGAAAAATTTTGCCCCTCTTTAGAATTATTTTATGTAATTTAATCCATAAATGGTACACTGTAGTTACATAGTTTTTGGTGATAAGGTAATGAATATAGAACCACAATTGTAATTTTTTCTTTTTTATTCAGGTTGTAATTATATAGTACTTTGATTTTTAAAGTAAATATATATATATATAGTCATGAAGATATAAAAAATTTAATAACTTTTGATTCAATAATATTTTACATTAAATTATTTTTAATTTATTAAAAATATTTTACATTTATGGAAAATGTAACATTTTTTATGAAAATTATGTGCACTTGAGCGCCTTTAATTTAACTTAAAATTTTGATAGATAGGAGATAGCAAATCTCTTAGATATTTATTTATCATGATTCAAAAAATAACCTTTATTTATTCATTTAAAAAATTATTAGAAATAACAATCATTGTTGGTGTTCTAGTATATTTATATTGACAAATTTTTAGTTAATATAAATAATTAAAAACTCCAATTTATAACTTAATGATATATATAACTTAAAGAATGAAATAAACTCATTTAAAGTTATACTATATTATAAAATATATTTTATAAATTTTTAATATTTCCGTTACTCATTATTTTAAGTTCTTAGCTATATCAGCTTTAACATTATAAAATACACATTTTTTATTTTAACCTAAATTAATAGTTAAGTTTATTATTTTATTTTTAAGTACATTGATTATTTATATTATCACATTTATATGTTTTTTCAACTATTATACTGTGTAAAATTATATAGAAGTGTGATATAATTTTGTTGATTACCAATTTTGTTAATTATTTTGCTTAACTTCTTAAACTGAATTTAATTAATTTTATAACTTTTTAATAAATTTAATTTATTAGGTGAAAATCAGTTACATATCCATTCTTTCAATATTTTTCAGTATACTTATTTTAAAATATGATCTTTAAATAATTGCTCTTGTCATAATATTTATTAATAAATTAGTATAAATATGATTAAACGTTAGTTTTGTATAATATTTTTTAGCATTGCTTATAAAATTATACATAATACAAATAATAAAGATTACATTTCATCTTTGTTATATTTAATGAACTTTTATTTAGTTTAAACAATTTTTTTTTTTAATAACTATGATGTTTATAATTATTTTGCAGATACTTCATAATTTATTGGTATTGTTCAATTAGGCTTTTCTTAATCGTATAAATATTGGTAATAATAAGTATAAGTCAAAATGAATACTGCTATATTTCCATGTAATAGGTGAATGTTTAGATTTAGCCCTATTAAGTATTGTAGATCTTTTAAAATTTGACATTTAGATTATGGAAATTGAAACAATGTACAAAATACATAAGTACTAAAGTGTTGGCTTATACTATCAAGTATACCATTTATAGATTAAATTACTTGAAATAATTCTAAAGAAGTAGAGTATAAGTCGGTTATTGACTCTTTATAGCAAACAATAAAAATGGTATACTAGAATCAACATTTTTTTTACAAAAATAAGACTTTTCAGTTTATTTTTGTATAATTTAAATGATCAAAATTTCATGTTTTTTCTGAGTTGTTTTAAACAACATATATGCTATGTTATTGCTCACATGACAGGCTCTGCTGTGAATCTAATTTGATTATATGAATATATAAAAAAAATGGTAACGCAGTGGGGTCGCAGCACAGTGTGAGCGGGTCATAGTTGGGATAAGTATAGATGATATCTGACAGTGATTACAATCATATCATAAGAAACTCTTTGATGCAAATTTGTAGATAGTGTCTAATTTTATGAAATTGATGGATTTTTCAAAAGCAAATTTTAACTTAAGAATTGAGAAAAAATTGCAAAAAAATCATTGCCACAGGCAATAATTTTTACTGAATCGGCAAATGTTTGTCACATTTGTTATTTGATATAATTGGCAATTTAAGCTGATTCAAATGTTAAAATTATTTTTTTTCGACTTAAAAGAAAAAAAAATTGAAATAAGTTTATCTTTATATTCTATGATTTATATAATCATGAAAATCAGTGTACGCCCCTTTTAAAATATATTAAAATAAATTAGAATAGAACACCAAGAATTTTAACAAAAAAATAGCATATTTTATAATATTACAACCATTTTCACTATATCTCAAAAAAAAATGTGTTCATAGTAAATTATATTACATAAGCTTTAATTACGATTTTTACTGATTTTAAAAATTGTATCTTTGGTTACGATGGGGGATTTTTATCATTTATAATTATTAATGGTAATGTCTTCAACTAGATATGATTTGTGATCTTTTGATGTATCATTGAGAAAAAGTAGTGACAGATACAAAAAAAAAATTAATTAATAAACACATCATGGTAAAATTAATACCTTTACAGCTTTGCATCAAAGCTAAAATGAATAAAGTTAATAATTATACATCCTTAATTTTAATTATGATGTATATTTTATTTAAAGTTATTGTAAATTATGTTCTTGATATCTTAGAACATTATGTCAGTGTTGACTACTTTGAAAATTTGATACAAAACTAGTTATCTAAAAAATGAAAATTACTATATAAGTATTCAATAAAAAGTAATTAAAATATTACAATTATTTGAGATTTTGAATTTTAAAAATCTAGTGAGGATACCTCATAGTTGGAACAAGTAAGAAAAAAGCTTCAATATAAATTTGTAGATAGTGTTTAACTTTTAAAAAGAATTATTAAATATCAACATTAACTCCTATATTCCAATTACAAGATTTATGATTTAGAATATTAGGCTATATATGAATTAATACTTATTATAGTAGTTCAATGTTATATGAAATTGATATTTAATAATTAAGTGTAGTCATTTTTACAGAAAAATTATTAAAAATGAATTATTATTATTACAGTTATGAATTCAAAATTATAATTTATAATAATCCATAAGTAGCTAATTTTTTTTTTTTTAAAGGTGTCCTCTTTATATATATATATATATATATATATATATATATATATATATANTAACACTTAAATCTTATTATTATTATTATTTTTTTTTTGTAAACAGAAATAGAGCTACTTACCTTCCTCTCTTATATGACTATACTCTATAACCTAAAGTATAAGCATAAACAATTGAAAATATGAAGTATAAAATAATAACATGTAAAAATAACATTTTGTATTTAACCTTGAGGGTCATTCACTTCTATAACAAAAACCAGTATCCGTGCTAGCTTAAAATATAACAAGCATGCAATAGTTCCTATAACGAAAAGTCAATTCTATGATAATTATTTTTCATATATATAATTAAAATTTGTCATATTTATGACAAATTTTAATTGACAATTATCTATTATGCATTGACTGATGTAAAATTAACATAATAATATTTTTCAATTATACTATTTTTACCTTTTTTTTATAACCAATGTTGGGTAGATTACTTTTTTGATAATTAAATTTAATTACAAATTACTCAATAGATTTCGAATTAAACTACCTAAATTGGACTTTATAAAAAAAAATAATGTAATTCCATTACTTCTATATGATAATAAAAGCAACTTAATTACAATGGAGTTACTTTTTTTTGTTTATATGGTAAATATGAAATTTACTATAATTACTACATCACTAATAATTCTAATGAAACTTCATTCTAGGACGTATTTAGAAATTTGTAATAGGGAAGGGAGGGCCAAAAAAAACATTTTTAACTGGCAAGCTGCTGTAGCGACCAAAACATACGCAACGAATATTCTCGAATGTTCTCGTTATCAAAAACCTTCGAGAAACTTCGATAACGCCATAAGATAACCTACGCGGGTATAGAATATTCTAGAATTAGCGAGAGCCTTATCGGAGCTATATATATATCGGAAGAATCAGTCAGTTTAGTTAGTTCAGTTCAGACTGTCTAGTCCGCGATACGCTACACGACCGCTACACCCCGCCGCTGTTGTCATCGTGTATTATGTTTACTTCGATTATTTTATTTTTCCTTACTGTATATACATATATTTTCTTTTAGTGTTTATACGTCTATTTTAGTNTTTCACTATTAATAGAAGTGGCACATAGAAGATAATTGTTGGAACAATTTTTTTTAACTGGAAGTATATTACACAATGTTTTATTTAATATATATTTAAACAATGCAGAATTTTCAAAAGTAAATTTAAAATTTTGTACAAGGGATAGTTGTCATTTTTCAAAAATTTATAACAATATAAAATTTTTAATTTTAACATAAAAATATTTTTAACTATTTATAATTTTTTTACTACAACTGTATACAAATAAAGAAATTTTTGGAACAAGAATTTGTTTACTTATATTTGAAGTAATGACTCGACTACATACAACTTTTTATGTTTTAGTGTATCGTTAAAAAAAATTAGACCAGTAAAAACTGAGAAATAATTGTGACAGACTAATAAATGATTAAAAAAAAACATTTAGTAAAATTAATACCCTCTCAGATTTGCTTTTAAGCTAAAATATCAAATTTTTGTTGAATTAATAGAATTTTTTATTTCCTTAAGTGTTAATCATTATTTTATTGAGATGCATACTGTGAATTTAAAAGCAAAATACAATATAAATATTTTAATTTTGAATCTTATCACAACACATTGAATTTTGAGATCAAAATATTCATTATTAATGGATCATTTACCAGTTATACCTGTTAATATTCTATGTGCGATTTTAGCATGCATAGCATACTGGTTTTTTGGCATAGAAACAGTAGAAATCTTCGTCTTGACCTATATGTGTATACTATTTACACATTATATTAACCCAAAAATTATTAAA